GGGGGGTGCAGAATTTCAACCAGGTACAGGGAAAAGAAAACTGCTGAAAACTAGGACCTGGTAGGGGAAGATTAAGAATAACAATAAAAAGGGCAAAGGTATTAATAATATTAGTTGGTTTGAAATGGACAAATACAAGCAAACTCATCACCGGGAAAAAGAAAAAAAATTAAAAAGAAAGAAAAACAACAAAGAAAAAAATAAAAATAAAAAAATCGGTCGAGGACTGCGTAGGTCACCCAGGCTCTGTCTGAGCACACAGACTGTGATGGAATTCTTGTGGGCCCAGAAAGTAGGTCGGAGTGGAGATGACCACACCTCCGTTCACCAAGCGGGTGTAGGGTGTAGTAACAAGAAGAATGTCGCACCTTTTCAGTCTTGCAGGCCCGGAGTGTCCTTGGGGTTGCTTTCCCTTCACCTTCTCTGTTTGTTCCCCAGCCACCGTGCACAGTCCGTGGCATCCCTGGCTTGCAGGGTGATTTTTAGGTTAATTTTTAGGTCCTACCACCACTCGGGAATCTCCAAGCTGTTTGTGCCGTCAGGGGTGCTCAGGTCTCTGCCAGTCCACAGCTCTGTATGTCTCCTTTTTTGGTATTTTCACGCAAATTCTTCTGCTAGTTGGGGTTTAGTCTACTTCTGTATCCTTCCCTTCAAGGCTCAGGGGTCCAAGATTATCTTCTGTGTCTGTGTCAGTTGGTTTCCCTTTTCTTTGTTGAAGAGGGTCTGTGCAGTCCTTCTGCCTAGTCCGCCATCTTGCGGGAACTCTGCTGTTTATCTTTCAAAGCCTACTTGCCACTTGGAGGCCTGAGCTGCCCTTCTTTCTCCTCCCACTAATGTTTGCCTCTGCACTACTCTCTGGGCCATCCTATTAATATGATGCAAAAAAGCTTAAACATGGGATCTTTTACATCAAGCATTATGTCAGCCTGTGCAAGTTCCCTAAGAAGATGGTGTATGACTGAAACACTTCAGAAATGTAATCCATTAAATATTTGAGGAATGGACATTCTAATTCAAAAGCCTTCCTTAAGAGTGTTTATGGGAGGTAGAATATTGAGATATGGTTGGTCTTCAGAAATGCTCAGAATACCAATAAAATCTCCCACTCTAAGGTGAGCTACCTTTGAAAGAAATGTCCATTTTTAAGAATAAACAACTTTGAAAAGCTCCAAAGAAGGATTTACATATATATGTGGGGAAATGAGACTTCTCAAAAGGTAGGTGGTTGCTGGGGGAAACACAGTCAGCAGATAGTTCCCTGGATTAAGAAGGAAGACCTCTGGGACCTTTGCATCCCCTTTGGAATGTACTTTTCCTGATCACAGTTCTCTATGTTGCAGGTTGGGCATTTTTCAAAGCTAGAGGGAAAATGTTAGGGTGTGTAATCTCCTTTCTTCTCTTTGTGACATCAGATATCCCTTGGCTCTTTTACTTTTAGACTCCCATTGCATTTTTGAACACCTATTCAGAACAAAAATAAAGCATTCTCCCAGCTACCCTACGTTCCAGCTCAGAATTCCTTGAGGAGGCAAGGCAGAGATCAAACTTTGGTCATAAATGTAGGCTGTCTTGTCTTCCCATGTGCCCAGCTGGAGAGCAGGGATGTTCATTATGTGGCTTCCCACAAAGACATGCAATTAAGACCCCTTTGTGGTCATCTAAGGTGGTCAGAGTGATCACCTGGGCCACTGGGAAGAGGTGAGAGAGATGTGCAGATTTATAACAATGCCTCGCATTTGTGCCCTACACTTTTCTTTTTTTCAAAGTAGTTTGTTTCTTATCACATTTGATCTTTAAACACTTCTGTGAGGTAGGCAGGGCAGAAATAACCTCACCATTGGAATGAGAAAACCCAGGAAGGCCTATGGTCACATAGGTCATGAGAGAGCCAAGACTGGGCTGGGACACCCTGGTGCCCTGGTGTGGGACCTCAGCACTCTCGCTGTTCCTTTTGCCTGGAGAGTCACAGAAAGAGCAGACCTGCCTCCGCCCTGTATTGGTGAGGATGGCCGGGTGCTGGGGCCTCTGGAAGAGAGAGGCATGACTTGTCCTCATCTCCTTCCTTCCCTGTTGGCTTTGGGTCACACCTCTTTTAGCCAGCCCAGTTGTTTTTTTTTTCTGCACAGTTTCCCCTTACAGCCACATTGTCCACTCACCCTGCCCAGCATTGCTGACCTTCCCACAGGTTAGGCTGAGCAGCCAAGGAAGTCTCCTGTTACAGGTCAGGAAGCTAAATCCCTGTTAGCAAAACATGGCCTGAGCTTGTTTCACTTCCTGTTAGCCCTGCACCTAAGAATGTAGGGCTTAGGGAACACTCCCAAGGTGACTGGTGGGGTTACCAAATGGTCAGTAGGTAGGAAGCGGCAGGCCAGGGTCTGGCTTTGCGCTGGGAGCTAGAAGCATGTGGGTGCTGGATGGGGCCCCTGCCCTGAAGGGCTTCCTTGTGCCCATGATGGGACATCTAGAGTGACATACCCTAAAGGAGGAAGCCACCAAGAGCTCATGTTGTGAGTGAGAGGTATGGTAGGTGCAGAGAGGAGGGGGTGGGTAAGGTTTGGGGCTGACAAAGGTTAGGCCTAGTGTGGCAGGGTGGTGTACTGGGGATAGGATACCTGGTACACAGTGGGCTTTCAGTAGTTCCCAAAAGTAAGGCTATGATCTGAAGGATTATTCAGGGCCAAGATTGTAGAGGGCCTTATGTGTTAGGCTGGGTAGTCCTGAGGTTGTAGGGAGTTGTGGTCAATTTTAGAACAGGGAAAGACATAACCAGAGTCACTTTTATGAATAATTAGCCATGTGTGGATTGGTATGAGGCAAGGGGGCTTGAGCTAGGCTGGGGGAAAGCCCGGGAGGTGGTAGTGCGAAGTATCTGGGATAGGAATATTCATATGTCTTGTTATGCTTCTTACAGGGATGCATTCATGATTCCCCTGATACCTCTTGGCCTGAAGGAAACTAAAGAAGTTGACTTTTCCGTTGTTCTCAAGGTAAATTTCTCAGCAATAAGTGCTGGACTCCATGTTTAAATGAAAATATGCACATTGAGTATCTTTTGCAGTGACTTGCAGTTGATGGGTGGAATGTTGGTTATTTCTTCAGAGTGACCTTGATTCCTCTTGGAACCCTCACAGAGAACGTCATGTATTTCTTTCATATACTTGCTTTCCTCTTTGGTGACTTCTGAAGGTTGGAAACCCAGGCCAGCCCCTGCTCCCCCAATCCCTTGCTAGGCCAAGTCATAGGGTCTGAGTGTGGATGTGCTTTGGAATTTGAAAACTGTATCATATTTTAGTATCTTTTTTCTTAAATTTTATAACTGATTTAGGCTGTGTTTTCAGAAGAATAGCTAACATTTTATTATGTTGACTTTTAGAGAAAAATTGAAAGAATTTTAGTAAAACCCTATATATTCACTACCTAGGTTTTACCGTTAACATTTTGTCATAGTTGCTTTATCACATATCTGTCTACTTGTACATTCCTTTATCTGCTCATGAATCCATCTTTTTTTTTTTTTTTTTTAATGCATTTCAAAGTAAGTTGCAGA